ACCGCATCCCAAAACCAGTCCAGCTCGTCCCTGCCTCCCTAACCTGTTCTTCCTCCCACCTATCCCCTCCCCCCACCTCAAGCCGCACCTCCATCTCCTACTGACCAACCTCATTCTGCCCCCTTGACCTGTCCGTCCTCCCTGGACTGACCTATCCCCTTCCTAACTCCCTACCTACACTCACCTTTCCTGGCCCCATCCCCGCCTCTTCGACCTGTTTGTTTCCTCTCCACCTATCCTCTCCTCTATCCCTCTTCTATCCGCCTCCAACTCTCTCCCTATTTATTTCAAAACCCCCTTCCCCTCCCTTTTCTGATGAAGGGTCTAGGCCCGAAACGTCAGCCTCTCTGCTCCTATGATGCTGCTTGGCCTGCTGTGTTCATCCAGCCCTGCACCTTGTTGCCTCGGATTCTCCAGCATCTGCAGTTCCTACTATCTCTGATAACAAGGCCTGGTGTGTTGGTTGGGGGCTAAGACATGGGAGAGTTCAGGCCCTAAAATTATTGAACTCGATATTGAGTTCCGAGGGCTGCAGGCTCCCCAGGCAGAAAATGAGGTGCTGTTCTTCCAGCTTGTGCTGAGCTTTGCTGGAACACTGCAACAAGCCTGAGACAGAGATGTTGGCCAGGGAACAGCCTGGTGTGTTACAATGGCAGGCAACTGCAAGATCAGGGTCTTTTTTGCAGGCAGAACGTAGATGTTCTCCAAAGCGGTCACCCAATGTGTGCTTCGTTTCCCCAATGTAGAGGGGACCTACTCCAGGAGAAGTGCTACCTCACCCGGAGGGCATGTTTGGGCCCTTGAGCTTTTCCAGCAACTTTTGTTTTTGTTTCTGATTTACAGCAACTGCAGTTCTTTCAGTTTTCATCGTTACGTGATCCTGCTTTTAAACAAAGAACAAACAGCAGCACAGCACAGCACAGAACCAGGCCCTTTGCCCACCAAGACTGCACTGACACATAATGCCTTTCTAAATTAAGAATCTTTTGCCTCTATGCTGTCTGTATCCCTCTACTTTCTATTCATATATCTGAAAAGATGCCTCTTAAACATTGCTATTGTATCCGCCTCAATTACCTTCTCTGGCAGTGCACTCCAGGCAACTTACCACCTTCTGAGTGAAGGAGATGTGCCTCTCACATTTCCTTTAAACTCACCCACCCTTTTACCCTAAACACATGTCCCCTGGTAACTGACATTTCCTCCCGGGGAAAACGACTCTTTTATTTCGAAGTTATCTGCGAACTGTCTCAGTTTAGCTTTAGTCAACTACTTCAGATAATCCACTGTTACATCTTCCACATCTAGAAGACCCTTTGCAACATTCAAAGCCATCTTCAAAACTTATGTAGTAAACTGCACCACAATGCAGCCATTTTATGTCTAGAACCATCACATAACAATTATTTTAACAAAGAAACACAAATCCCTCTTAAATCCAGTGAACCCAAATTCTGCAAGAGTCCCACTTATGAACCTGCTGGTATTATTATTGGGCAAGCCAGAACCCAGATTAAAATCTGGATCGTTTTTAACAAAGTAGCCTTTCACTCAATGCTGTGGAGCAGGTTTTAACAATAAAGCAGACATTTATTATGCTAAAAAATGTAGAATAGAATAAACCAAGCTTTATATATACAACAATTTGAAAGATTTTGAAAAATATGTTCTTTTCTATCTCATCTGTAAATCTGACTTATGTTTCTTTCAATTCCTGGTGTTTGAAAGCTGAACAGCCTTTTTCTTGATTAGTTACATAATTGAGGTTAGACTTCCTAGCCTTTGAATAACTCCTTCAGGCTTCTAACCAAACACTTTTGGTCTAGAGCTTTCAACTTACATTGAGATAACCTATTTACAAACTGTTCTAAGTGAATTCCTTTCTTTAGGAGCAACTGTTTCATACATTTAACTACAAACAGAACTTCTGCAAATGGTCAGAATTTTCTGAGGAAGAGTCTTGACCCGAAATGTCAGCTTTACTGCTCCTCTGATGCTGCTTGGCCTGCTGTGTTCATCCAGCTCTACACCTTCTTTCTCATGTTGTTTTAGAAAAAGTCATGGCTCTAGAAATACTGATAGGTTAAATATTAAACCAAAACCGAAAGAACTGCGGATGCTGTAAATCAGGAACAGAAACAAAAGTTGCTGGAAAACCTCAGCAGGTCTGGCAACATCTGTGAAAGAAAAAACAGAGTTAACATTTCGGGTCCAGTTCTGAGGAAGGGTCACTGGACCCGAAACGTTAACTCTGTTTTTTCCTCTTCTGAACCCTCTCCAGCTTGAAAATATCCTTCCCATAATTGGGTAACCAAAACTGGACACAGTATTCCAGAAGAGGCCTTACCAGTGTGCCGTACAACCTCAACATAACATCCCAACTCCAATACTCAAAGGAGTGAACAATGAAGGCAGGTGTGCCAAACGCCATTTTAACCACCCTGTCTACATGTGATGCGAACTTTAAAGAATTATATACCTGCACCCCTAGGTCCGTCTGTTCTACAACACCACACAATTGTATAACACCATTAATTGTATAAGCCCTATCCTTGTTTGTTGTATTAGAAAGCCATATATTTATCCAGATTGAACTCCATCTGCCATTTGTCAGCCCATAGTCCCATTTGATCAAGATCCCCTTGTAATCTTAGAGAACTTTCTTCACTGTCTACAATTTTGGTGTCATCTACAAACTTACTAACCGTGCCTTCTATATTCTCATCCAAATCATTTACATAAATGACAAACAAAAGAGGACCCAGAACCCCGTGGAACATCGCTGGTCATGGGCCTCCAGTCTGAAAAACAGCCCTCCACCATCACTCTCTGTCTCCTGCCATTAAGCCAACTATGCATCCAATTGACAAGCTCACCCTGAATCCCATGTGACGTAACTTTTCTAATTAGTCTACCACGTGGAACCCTGTCAGAAATCACATGACACCAGGTTATAGTCCAACAGGTTTATTTGAAAACATAAGCTTTTGCAGCCTCAGTCCTTCAACATCTGAAGAAAGACTGAGGCTCTGAAAGCTTGTGTTTTCAAATAAACCTATTGGGCTATAACCTGGAGTCATGTGACTTCTGACCTTGTCCACCCTAGTCCAACACTGCCACCTCCACATCATTTGGAACTTTGTCAAAGGCTTTACTAAATTCCAAACAAACAACATCTACTGCTCTGCCATCATCAACCTTTTTGGTAACTTGCTCAAAAAACTCAATCACTATTTTCCTCACACAAAACCATGCTGACTATCCCTAATCAATTTTTGCCTCTCTAAATATCCGTAAGTCCTATCTTTTGTAATCACCTCCAACAATTTAGCAAAAACCGAAGTCAGACTCTCAGGTCTATAGGTCCCTGGTTTCTCCTTATAACCCTTCTTAAACAAAGGCACAACATCAACCACCCTCCAGTCATCAGCACCTCACCCCTAGTTATAGATGATGCCAATATTTCTGCAAGGGGCCTCGCAATCCCCTTCCTTACTTCCCACAACATTCTGGGATACATTAGGTTAGGTCCCGGAGATTTATCCAACTTTATATTGTCTAAGACCTCCCTTATGTCCTCTTCTGTAATATGAACTGTTTTTACTCTGCATTCTCTAGACTCCATTTCTTTCTCCATCGTAAAAACTGACACAAAATATTCATCTCTCGGTGTTCAACACAAAGACAACCTCCTTTTAAGAGGCCAACCATCTCTCTGGTTACCCTCTTGCTTTTAATCTGTAGAATCTCTTTGGATTAGCCTTAACCTTATCTGCCAATGCTGTCTCATATCCCCTCTTTGCCTTCCTAATTACTCTCTTAAGAATGCCCCTACACTCTTTATATTGATTAAGAGATTCAATTGAACCAAGTTGTCTATATCTCAGAAAAGATTCTCTTTTATTCTTGACTAGAACCTCAATATCTTTATTCATCCATTGTTCCTTAATCTTACCAAACTTACCCTTCACTCTAACAGGAACAAAATGCCTCTGAACTCTCGTCATCACACTCTTGAACACGTCCCTCTTGTCAGACGTCTGTTTATGTGCAAACGGTCTACTCCAACCAACTTTTGAAAGTTCTTGTCTCATACCATTAAAATTTGCCTTACTCCAATTAAAATCTTTAACCTCTATGGAAGGCTTATCCTTTTCCATAACCATTTTGAAACTAATAGAATTATGATCGTTAGACCCGAAGTGTTCCCCAAACACTTCAGTCGCCTGCCCTGCCTTTTTGTCCAAAAGAAGGTCTAGTTTTGCTGCTTTTCTAGGAGCATCCACATATTGATTAAAAAAAAAAATTTCTTGAGCACCTTTGACAAATTCTTCACCATTCAAACCTTTAACACTATGGGAGTCCCAATCAATGTTTATAAAATTAAAATCCCCCATTATTACTACCCTGTTATGCTTATATATATCCGAGACCTCCCTACATATTTGTTTCTCAATTTCTCTCTTACTATTGGAGGGGCCTATAGTACAATCCCAAAGTGATCTCTCCTTTCTTATTTGTAACTTCTACCCATATATTTTCGGAAATATTTTCCCTTGTTACAGCAGTAATGTATTCCTTAATCAAAAATGCCGCACCCTCCTTTCCTGTCTCCTTTTCTATTCTTCCTATAGAATCGAAAACTGGGAACACCGAACTGCCAGTCTTGTTCATCTCTCAGCCAAGTTTCTGTAATAGCTACAATGTCCCAATCCCATGTTCTTTAACATGCTGTAATTTCATCAGCCTTACGTGTAAGACACCTTGCATTGAAATAAACGGAATTTAGTTCTTCAGAGTTACTACATACTCTTGACTCTCTCTGGTTTTTCTTTTTTTAATTGATGTGCCCTCCTCACATTCAGAACCTACCCCATCAATCCTTCCAGTTACACGGCTACTTAGAATTCCTCCACTCGTCTTCGTTATCAGTATAAAGTCTCCCTTAATAGAATGAGAAAATCTCCCTGCTAAGATATTGGTCCCTTTCCAGTTTAGGTTAGAACCATCCTTTCTGAACAGGCCTTTTCCATCCCAAAAGACATTCCAATTGTCCAAAAACCTGAATCCCTGAACAATATACGAGCTCTTCAGCCATGGACTTATGCCCTTTAACCTTTTGTTCCTTCCCTCGTTTGAGTTTGGCGTTGGGAGTAAACTAGAAATTACTACTTTCAAAGTTTCATTTTTTAATCTTCTCCCTAATTTCTTAAATTCATTCTGTACTGCTTTAATCTTTTCCCAAAAAATGTCATTCCTACCAATGTGTGCAATAATTTCTGGCTTCTCAATCTCACCTTTAACAATATGCTTGAAACATTTAGAAACATCCTTAATCCTAGCACCAGGAAAGCAACAACCCATCCTAAATTTACGCTCACTGCCACAGAATCAACTGTCTATGTCCTTGACAGGAGCGTGCTCAATAACAATAATTCTATTAAATCTTGTCAAATGTTGCCTAACACAAGAATCATTCCAAGTGTCCAACAGGTGACTGGCCCTTCCATTTTCTTCGGAGAGACTATCCCCTTCAACTGTTCCAAAAACTGGATATCTATTTGATAGAGGAAAAGCCATCTTTTGAAATACCTTCTTACCTTTCCTGACAGTCACCCATCTATCTGTCTGATCCTGCTGGGTAATAACTTTTCTAAGTCTACTAGCTACCTCACTCTGTACCTTATATATGGCCTTAATAATATTAAACCTGAAAAAAGATGTTTCAATAGCATTTTAAATATAAAATAAACTACCTTTCTTTACCTCCAGAAAATAATGTTAAAATTGAAAAAAAAGTTCATATATATCAAACATATAAAAATTATATAAAATCAACCACTTAGTTGATTAATTGAATAAAAACGATTCCTCTTCAATAAATTCCTCGAAGGGAAAAAGGTCTTCTCCAGAACTGACTCTCCAGAACAAAAACACAACTCCTTATTTAAAAAAAACTGTACATTTTTTCAAAAAAACCTTTGCAATGTTTAAAAAAACCCTCTAAAACACATATAGACATTTTAATTTCTGAATTAAGAATAAAGAAAACCTCAGCTGTTCACTGTAGACCCTTAAAAAAAGTCAATTTGAAAAAAAAAAGTTTTTTTTGTTAAAACAAAATGGAAAAACATGTTAGTAAACTGTAAGGACTACAACAACTGTAAATCTGTAAAAAATATATAATAAATCTTTAACTAAGCCTGCAACCCCAGGAGCAGCTGCAACATCCACATTGCTTGAATTCCTGAGCCACTTCTCTAAGGGGATGGTAGTTTTTAAAAAAAAATCATGTTTGAGGACAAATGTACCCGATGTTTTCAGGACAATCAAATGTATAGGAAGAAAAGGAAAGGTACTTAATTAGGCAGAATTTAAGAACTATTTACAGTACCTCTTTATGCTTTTCCATGGTTGCGTACAACTTCTGCGACAAGTCATTAGCTACATTTGGCATTCCAGGCTTTTTCTTGTTGGCGCGGCTAATGCTGCTTTTATTCTTATTTGTTTTCTTGTTGTTCTTTTTCTTTGCATTTTTGCTGTCTCCTTTCTTTCCCTAGAAATGGGTATAAAAAGATAGTTAACAACTTTAGGTGCCCGATACAGAACAGTAATCCACCATGACTGTTCTTCTAAAGGCTATTTTAAATATAGAACGTAACTGAGAAAAGTATTCTTTCCGACTTCATTTTCCTATACGTGCTAAGATTTTGTGCTTGGATTCTACTTCACTGCAGACTCTTTAATCACAGCATATGGATTTAAGAGCATAAGAATTGGAGCAGCAGTCCATATGACTTGTCAAGTCATAGCTAAACTTTCTCAATTCCATTTTCCTGCCCATTCCTTGTGTTCATTGATTCCCTCAGATCAAAAATCTGTCTCTCTCAGCCTTGAACATGTTCAATGATGAAGCACCCACAGCTCTCCAAGGAAAAGAATTTCAAAGATTCACAATGCTGTGTGACGAAGTTTCACCTTAGTGCAGCTCTGAATGATAGGCCTCACCCTGAGGCTGCCATATTGCTCCAGCTTCGTCAGGGAGGGGAAGCAACTCTCATGTATTTGTCTTGCCAAGCTCCTCCAGAATCCTGTACGTTTCAATAACATCACCTCTCATTCTTCTAAATGTCGAGTTCTAATTTGCTACGTTTCTCATCTCAGGACAACCTTCCGAACCCAGGAGCTGGTCTAGTCAATCTTTGCTGTATGACCTCCCTCAAAAATGGAGACCAAAACTACACACAATATTCCAGCTGTGGTCTGACCAAACCCCACACAACTGTATAAAAAGCAAAGTACTGAAGATGCTGTATATCTGAAACAAGCATAGAAAATACTGGAGAAACTCAGCAGGTTTGGTACAATCTGTGGAGGGCGCAAAACAGAATTAATGTTTTGAGTCTGATATTAGCAGTCATAAAATACTTGAAACATTAACTCTGTTTCTCTCTCCACAGATGCTGCCACACCTACTGAGTTTCTCCAGCATTTTCTGCATTTGTCCCATACAAAAGAAGCAAGATTTCCTTGACTTGCATTCTGATCTTCCAATAAAGGCCAACATGCCACTTGCACTCCTAATCACTTGATGTACTTGCAGGTTTTGTTTCTTATACAAGTACACACAAACCTCTCCAAGCATCAACGTTTAAATGTTTAATGCCTTTAACAAGTATGCTGTTCTGTTTCTACAACTAAACTGAAAAACCACACACATCCTGTCATTAGCCTCCAAGTACCATCTTGTTGCCCACTCACTTAACTGGTATATCTCTCTGGTTCCTCCTATGCCCTACTCATAGCTCACATTCCAACCTACATTGTATTGACAGAAAAGCTAGATACTTTATTCACAACCTCATCTAAGTCCTTAAAGTAGATTACAAATAACTAAGGCCCCAGCACTGATCCATAAGGCTCTACTTATTGAAGTCAGCCAACTTGAAAGGACCCATTTATTCCTCTTCTATGCTTCCTGTTGATTAACCAACTCTCCATCCATGACAGTGACAGCTCAAGGTTGTTGTGACATAGTGCAAAAGCTAATGTAGAACCATTTGTGACGTCTTAGTGCAGGAGTTGGAAAGTGCTCAGGAATTTTAAAATCACAGATGGTTACAGCACAGAGTTGTCTCCTTCTTTTGTCACTGTGTTTAGTGAAGCAGGTAGACTTATTGACATATTTCACCAATAGAACTGTGTGCCTTTTCTTGTTAGCTTTTCTAATTGGCTAAATCACATTAGTCATTTACCAAAACAGAGATTAAAATTTGAATCACAACTTTAAATGGTCACCAGATTTTGCCAGTCCAGATCTTAATCAAGTTATCAAACCTCCATGCTGATTCCACGTCAAAACTGAATTATTAACTCATCACCACAGACTTCATATCTATTAAACGTGGTAGAAGGATCAGTTTTTAAATCATGGTTGGGTCAAAAGAGGTGTAAAATTTGAAACGAGTATTCCCATTCTTTCGTACAGGATTTTTTTGTCCACGATTAGTAAATTTGAAAGGCAGGAACAAGGGCAAATGCTGCTTGATTCAAATCCACTTATCTTGACATTACATTTTGGAATGTACTTGCTTTGCAAAGTATCATTTGGTCAGGCAGCAATTTCAGACTGATTGGGACTACTGCTGGTTCCCATCTTAGCCGTCAAGAACTTCAATTCTCTGACAGCAACTCACCTAGTCTCATCTCCTTTGCTTTATCACTGCATATTTTTTGGAAAATATTATCATCCAATTCTGCTTTGAAAGTGAGGATTGAAACTTCCTCCAGAATATTCTCAGGTAGTGCATCCCAGATCTTAACCACAAACTGCATAAAGACATTTTCTTCATGTCATACAGTACAGAAGCAGGCTCTTCGGCCCACCATGTCTATATCAACCAACAAACACCAAACTATACTAATCGCATTTACCTAAATTTGGTCCATAGCCTACTATGCCTTGACATTTTGAGTGCTCATCCAGATACATCTTAAATGTTGCCTCAGTACCTGCCTCCGCCACCCTCTTGGGCAGCATGTTTCTAATTTTTGGGTTAAAAACAAAAATTCCTCAGATCACTTCTATCCACTTACTTCGCACCTTCAACTTTTGTCCTCTAGTCTGCATGGGGAAAAAGATTCTCACAATCTATTCTATGCCTCTCATAATTTTGTGTACCCCAATCAGATCACCCCTCAGCCTCCTCTGCTCCAGGGAAATCAAGCCCAGCCTATCCAGCTTCTCCTCAGAACTGAGACTTTCTAATCCAGGCAACAGCCTGGTCAATTTCCTCTGCACCATCTTCAGTGTAATCAAGTCCTTCTGTACAGTGTGGCAACCAGAACTGCACAGTATTCCAACTGTAGCTATCCAATGTCTTGTAAAGTTGCAAAAAGACTTCCCAACTCCTCTACTGTACGCCCTGACTAATGAAGGTAACCATCCTGTACATGCTTTCACCACCACCCTGTCTACCTGTGGACTTGTATACCTTTGCTACTCAATACCCCTAGGGGCTTACCATTCATTGCCTAAATCCTTCCTCTAACAGACCTCCCAAAATGCATCACCTCACACTTATTAGGATTAAATTCTATCATTGCTCCTCCCCATTTACCAGTTGATCAATATCAGACTGCAACCTGAGACCATCCTCCTCACCAACACTGCCAATTTTTGTGCTCTCTGCAAATTTACTAATAATACCTTCTACTTTCACATCCAAGTTGTTAATATACACAACAAACAAGGGTCCAAGCACTGACCACTGGTCACAGGCTTTAAATCACAAAAACAATCCTCCACTATCATCCTTTGCCTCCTATTTGCAAGCCCACTTTGAGTTGTGTTTGCAATTTGTCTCAGATCAGCTTTCCACATGGGACCTTGTCAAAGGCCTTACTGAAGTCCACGTAAACAACATCAACTGCACTACCCTCACCAATATGTTTAGTCACTTTTTCAAAAAACAATTAGTCAAAAAGGATTTCCCTTTAACAAATCTGTGCTGACTATCCCTGATCAATCCCTGCCTTTCAAAGTGTTGATTAATTCTGTCCCTCAGAACTTTTTCTAATAATTTCTCTACCTTGGACATAATTGGTCTGTAATTTTCTGGCCTATCCCTGCTGCATTTCTCACTCATTAGCTATTCTCCAGTCATCTGGCACTTCACCAGTGATCAGCAGTATGTTGGCTCAGTGGTTAGCACTGCTGCCTCACAGCACCAGGGACCCGGGTTCAATTCCACCCTTGGGCAACTGTCTGCGTGGAGTTTGCACATTCTCCCCGTGTCTGCGTGGATTTCCTCCAGGTGCTCTGGTTTCCTCCCACAGTTCAAAAGTTGTGCAGGTTAGGTGGATTAGCCAATTTAAATTGCCCGTAATGTCTCACCTAACGTAGGTTAGGTGGGTTAGCCGTGGGAAATGCAGGATTACAAAGGAAGGGTAGGTTAGAGAGTTTGGGTGCGATGCCCTTTGGAGAGTCGGTTGGACTTGTTGGGCCAAATGGCCTGTTTCCAACTACCTGTAAGTAGTTGCTAAAGTCTATGTTTGTCAGATCCTGTATAATGATATTGAAAGTGGCCTTCGACTTGTGCGCTATCTTTATCCCTTTGCATAATGACTCAAACTTAGAATTATGTCACTATCCTCAAGATATTCAGCCACTGACACTTCAATCACTTGACTTGGCCTCATTCTCTAGGATGTCTAGCATTGCCCCATTTCCAGTAGGGGTATCTACATACTGGCACACAAAGCTCTCCTGGATCCACTTTAAAAAAATTCCACCCAGCCTAATCCTTTCACTCTTGCGTGATCCCAGTTAATGCTAGCAAAGCTGAAATCCGCTACTTCTATAACTCTATTCCTCTCACACCTCTCTGCAATTTGCTTACGTATCTGCCCCTCTTAATCCTTGACTGTTGGGAAGCATGTAGTATAATCCCAGCAAAGTAATACCCCTTTTTTATTTCTAAACTCTACATAGATGGTCTCATCTGAAGAGCCTTCTAAAGATATCCACTCTCATTGCTGCAGTAACCATTTTTTTTTTTAAAATCTCAATTGGCATCTTCTGGTTTGTGAGCTATCTGCAAGTGCAAATAGTTTCTCTCTATCTACTCTGTCCAGAGACTGATAATACTATGGCTTTAAGAGGTGTATCAGGTCCTGGTATGAAGAAAGGTTGAGGCAGACGTAACAAGCAGTCTGCTCAAGTTCAATAAAGTAAACAGCTTGTGAGGCCTCGGAGTTTTTTTAAAATTGGAACAATAGAGGCAGCCTGAATGGGTGGGGTCAAGCTCCCATAAAACCAGAGTTTTTAGTATTGGCTTTCTGCAGTTGCTGGAGTCTTGAGGCTGGATTTGGAAGCTCTTGTTCCTTTCTCTGTTACAACTAAAAGCTGGGGCTCTCTTCCTGCTGCTAGAACTGCATGTGAGACAATTCATTTTACTGAATTTGCCTTTGCCAAAGGTGTATTTGTGCCACGTCACTATATTGGAACAGTTAATTAGTACTAGTCAGCATATATATTATTTTGTTAAGCATTTT